TCTGATTGTCCACCAAACCGTCTATCTTGTAGTCTTCTCCAGATAATAATTGGTACTTCCATTCTTTTAAAATTTAAATCATATCATGCCATGCCTGTATGTAAAATACTCTAGTGTTTTCCCACCTTGTTAAGGCTCTCCATGACCCATCCTTTGTCACTGCCCTGATATTGTCTCTTTCCTAGTTCACTTTACCTCAGCCACATTGGTTACCGTACCCCAGGTCTCCATTATATTTGTCATTCCCAATTTCTGGACAGCTCTGCCCCTAATATACACACAGCTCCCTCTTTCACTTCTTTCAACTATAACCTTCTTATTGAGGCCTATCTAAAATTTCAACCCCGCCTCTGCATATACATGCCCTTAGCTTCCTTCTCTGCTTTATTGCCATAAACACGCTACCTATTTAGTTTATTTATTTTGATTACTATAAAGCTCCTCTACTAGATATTGTTTTTTGTTCACTCTTGTATCCCAGCCACTTGAACAGTGGCTGGCATAAAGTAGGCTCTCAAAAAATATTAGTTGAAAGAATGAAGGTAATAAGTGATAATAAGAAGAGCTACCTTTTAGGTAGAAATGTAAATGGAAAGTAAATAACATAAGTGTTAATGCATCATAAATATTAATTATTTAAATTAATATTATATTCCTATGTGTGTCTATAGGAAGTAATTTTTAAGTTGGAACTATAGGAAAAGAAAGAGAAATTATTTTAACTGGAATTTAAAATTTTTTTTAACTAGAATGGTATGTGGTTTAGTAAGTTAGCCTTAGCAAGGTAAAGACCTTGGAAACACTCTGGTGTTTGGCCCAGTTTACCAGGTCCCATGCCTGCCTAGAGAGTGATGGCACGAGGGAGGAAGGGATTGAGAGGCAGGCTGGGACTTGTGTGAGTGGGGTCAAGGGTCTGTATGCAGTCTTCTGGATGGTTCAGGGTGAGAACTTTAGGCCCAAAGATGGTTGTGTGCTGATGTTCATCTCAAGTATCTCTAGCAGATCTTAGTTTTTAGGGCAAGAGTCAGGACTTACAGTATTTGTCTAGATGTGCTTGTACACACCCTAAAGCAAGAGAACCACTCCAAGTCTAAGGAAAGGGATTATCGCATATGTTCATATGCTCTTTAATAAAATGCTTTGCTATCAAAATATAAATCCTCATGGTGGATACAGAACCAGAGTGTTTCCATGATGCTGCTTTCAGCCTAACACATAGTGATGTTACATGTTTTTTTATAGGTTGGAGTGAAAATAAATTCACCTACATCTAGGTCATTATTAATTTCAAAACATATTTTAAAGTGAAAATACAATTTTAAAAAGACACTCCTTCTTGGAGCTATAAAGGATATATAATTCTTAATAGTCTTTGTATCCAAATCTAGGTATTTGATTAGCTGGTATAGTCCACAAAGAAAATTCCTTTGTAAATCATATCGCTTTTGCATTTTATAACACAAAGTTGATTTTCATGAATTTTCCCTAAACTTCACTCACTGACGTCCTTTACTCCCTGGGGACAGAGGCACAGAGGCTGTGTAACTGCTACTTCCCCCATTGTCAGTGAACATGATGTAGGGAGACACAGAGAAAGGCACTGTATTTTATGCTATGTGTCATCATCTAACACTTTCCAAACCTTTCCATGTTTCAGAGAGAAAATAGCTGCTTCAGTTATTCTACAAAACCTGCCTCACTTATTTTTTACAATTTGTAATTGATTCCAACACGGAGATTGAACTTTGCTTGTATATTGCTGCAAGTATGAACAAGGACCTCTGACCTGTGAAGTTAATTAAAAGGCTGGATCTCATTTCTTTCAAAGTGGTGACCTCAGAATCTGTATACTAGAGTGGGAATACGTTTGTATATATGTGCATGTATGGTTAAATATGTATCTATATGACATATGTATATATTATGAGAGAAAAAATAAATAGAAAATGAAAGGTCCTGAAAGAAAAGAAGTGAGGAAAGGTATGAGAAAGGAAGGGAAAGGAATTAGCATTCATTAAGCTCCTCCTATGAACCAGGCATCCAGGTTCATAGGTGATGGGGGGAAAGAAGGTGATGGGGGGAACAAAGATGAAGACATGAATTATCTGGATATTAAAGAATGAGCACACCTCCTTTCTTAAAGGAGAGTGCTATAAGAATAGATGCTGGCAGTCCATCAGGGAGCACTTGTCAAGTCATTCAGAGGAGAACAGAGGCTGTGGGGCACTGATTTTGGCTTTGTCTCCTTTAGGTGCTAGGCTGCTGTCTCACCATGAGGTGAGTTATCTTTGAAGTTCTACTGAGCAGTCTAGATAGCATGACTTAAAAGTGCATGTCCTTAAATGGAGTTCAGATCCCAGAATACAAATGCTCAGAAAACCAGATGAGGTCAGGAAAAGCCAGCCCAAGACATTTCTCTTTAAACCCTAGATAATGCTAGTTTTCTCCACAATTAAAAGGATCCTAGAAAACTATAAATTGGAGATTTCTAGGTATTAATATTAGTTTTTTTGCCCATTTTTTAAAACCAGGGGTATTTAAAATTTCTGAAGTTGCATCTTTGTGATTAGCCTAATGGGCGGAGAGGTAGGTGACTTTGCAGAGTTCTTGGGTGGGTTCTCAGCCTCTTGATCTTGGGTTAACTATGAGATTTTTTTGGCCAATAGGATATTTAGGAAATGTGATACAAGCAGAGGCTTGAAATGGACTTACATGTTGGGGCTTGCTTTTCTGCCAAGAGAAGAATGACAGACACATGGCACTACGTACAATGCTCCAACCAAGTATGCCAAATCTGCCCTAGAATACAGCCCTAGCAAAACCACGGACATGTGAATCAGCCCACCTGAGACAAGCACAGCCACCCAGATCAACCCACCTCAAAATAGTTGAACCCTGTAGATGTGTGAAAAATAAATGTTTATTTCTGAATGCCACTTGGAGGGGTTGTGTAGTTGTTTGTTATACAGCAAAAGCTCACTGATGCAAATCTATTTGACTCATCCTCCTCTTGTCTGCCAGAGTGATATTTATAAAATGGAAATCCAATTATCCTAAAATTACTCTGCCCAGGATATTTTAATGACTTCCTGTTATTTGGCTGATTGATGTCCTCCCCGCCCCTCCAAATTCCTGTGTTGAAGTCCTAACCCCCAGTACCTCAGAATGTGACCTTACTTAAAATGGGGTCATTGAAAGTGTAAAATGTAATTAGTTGAGTTAAGATGAGGTCATCCTGGTGTAGGGTGGACCCCTAATCTGATATGAATAGTGTCTTTACAAAAAAAAGGACATGTGGAGGTAGACATGCTCATCAGGAGAACACTATGTGAACATGAAGGCAAAAATCAGGATGATGTGTCTACAAGCCAAAGAACACTGAATATTGCCAGAAAACCACCAGAAGCTAGAGGAATAGAACAGATTCTTCTTCACAGCCCTCAGAAAGAACTAAATCTACCAGCACCTTTATCTCAGACTTCTAGCTCTAAAACTGTGGAATGATAAATGTTGTTTAAGCTACTCTCCATTAACTTTAGGATAGAGTCTAAACTCCTTTACAAGGCATAAAAGTTTTTTTTATGTATAATAAAAATTATACATAATTAAAGTATAGTTAGCATACAATACTATCTTAGTTTCAGGTGTATAAAATAGTGAGTCGACATTTATATATCTTACAATGTGATTGTCACACTAAGTCTAGTAACCATCTCTCACTGTGCTAAATTATCACAATGTTATTGACTATACTCCCCTCTGACTTTTTCATCCATCCCCTACTCACCTTTCCTCTGGCAACCATCAGTTTGATCTCCGTTTCTATGAGTCTGTTTTTGTTTTGTTTATTTGTTTTGATTTTTAAAATTGCAAATATAAGTGAAATTATGCTGTATTTATCTTTGTCTGAATTATTTCACTAGCATAATAATTTCTAGATCCATCCATGTCGTCACAAATGGAGATATTTTATTATTTTTTATTGCTGAGTAATATTCCACTGGAAGTCTTTTTATAAGCTGGTCTCTTGTCATATCTATGGTTTTATTGCTCATTGTACCCCAAGAGCTTCAGCCTTTCCCCATTCTCTAGCCACACAGAACTATTTACAGTGCTTCAATTTACTGCTTCAGAGCTTTTGTCCATGCTAGAACTTTGTCCTCAAATGCCCCTCCTGCTACTTGCTAATCCCTCCCTTCTTTCCACATGATTACATAATTAACTTCTATTTGTATTTCAAGGTCCAGATCAGGTATCATCTCTGGAAACTTTCTTCTTACCTTCCCAATTCTAACTAAGGGAGGATGCTTTATTGAATGCTCCCCAAACAGCCTCTAGAGATAGTTCTACCACAGTTCATTATACACCTTTATCTTCATCAACAGACTTATTTGATAATGAACCTCTTGAAGGCAGGGTCACATACTATTTGTCTTTTTATTCCTAGTACCTAGCACAATGCTTGGCATACAAAGGCTGTGCAGCAAATGTTTGTGGAAGAAATCTGTGAATGTTCATATGTAAATATCTAAACAGATGTGTTCTTGGCACATGGGAGATACTTTCTATTTGTGTGACGACTGGCAATTGAGTTTACTTGGAAGTGAAAACACCCAATTAAAGACCAAATATTGCTTCCTTACACTTCTTCATTTCCTTCTGTCTATATAACTACCCATTCTCACATGCTTTATAATGCTTTTAGAAGTAAGTGACTGTGAATTATTACTGGCTGTGGACCTTTCATCTTCAAGATTGACAATCTACATTCTACATTTCTCAGGAGGGCGAGGCTATTATAACTATATTTTTGCTTACCAAGAGAACTGTTCATGGTTATCTTGGAGGAAGAAAAAATCTATAAATATCCAACCTATAATGAAGCTTTAAGCTTATTTTCTTTCTTTACTAATGAAATTCATTCTGAGTGCACTGCCAGCATTGCTACATAACCATTACACCGAAAAAAGAGACAAAGCCTATAGTGAATTTTCTTTTACCTGTTTAGTCCTCATTTTGGAATCCAGTGACAGATTGTTGTAGGTATAATGTGCCTGTGTGACTCCACAGAAGAGAACAGCGACTATCCCTGAAATTCAAAAACATATCAGTCAAAACCAATTTTCTTTCCCATCTAAGTCAAAGGGTAAGGCTATCCCAGCTAGAAGGAGATGAACTTGGTGACAGTAGAGTTAAAGCAGCTAATAACTACTATGGTAATGAAGCCAGGGTAAACCTTGCTACTTGCTTTAGACATAGGTCTGGCAGGATTAAATCTAAAGAAAAAAACCTGAAGAAAAGTCTTAAAAAGTAGATTCTTCCTGAGAATAAATGATCCCCTGGTCACAAGTTAGGAAAGTTGTACTCAAGAAAACATGAACAAAAGACTATATAGTAGACTCTGGACATCTCATAGCCAGTGCCAACTACTTCACTGCATTTATACTAAATGCTGGCGTATTTGCTCAGACATTTGCTTTCCATTGGGTACATTGAGGAATCTGAAGAAGTTCCTGTCACATCATAATTTAGTATTAAAAACCATGAGTCACAAACATGTGAAATCTACAAGGGTTTATTGTCTTGCCAATGCCCTTTCTTGCCAAGTGAGAAAGAGAGAGACGTAGGTCCTTGTGTGCCCCTATTATACCCACCTTTAAATCCCACATGAAGCTACACATACACTAGATGCTTTCTGGGGACAGAGGAGTAGCAGCCATAGGAAAAATTTTCCCCCAGGCTCTGTTATTCCGTGTGTTATTGACCCAGGGCTGGGGTAGGGAAGTCGGGGCTGGGGATACATTCTATTTTGGATTAAATATTCTGTTAATTATGGGAAATTGGGCATAGAGGAGGGCTTTGAGAAAAATATAAGATGTAAGTATTCCTCAACTCAGACCAAGGGAATTGGATTGAATTTTAAGCAGCAGAAACGTTTCAAATAAAAACACTCATAAATTAAATGCTAATGATTCTTAAGAGTACAGAGATATGTGAACTGAATACCGACATTTCAAATGAATCTGCAATAAAGAATTTTAAAGAACTAAGCATTTTTTTTTTTATGTAGACTGTATGCCTCTCT